AATAATAATAATAATAATAATAATAATAATATTATTATTATTATTATTATTATTATTATTCTCTATTTTTACAGCGAAACAATCAAGTTGGATAGATGTGAAATTTTTAAGAAGAAAAATTATTATTATATAATACTTATTCTATGAGAATTTGACTCTTAACATGATTAGAAAGGATTCACGTATTTTCTTGCTTTGGATTGTAAAATTTAATCGAGTACAATTTAAGCTGGAAAATATATTTTATACATATACGGAGCTCCACATACATAATCAACACATAATAATTTCTTTGACGGTTGATCGTATTCCTCTCATAGTGCTCTGCTAGGGTTTTGTTCCCTCGTCGTCTCCCGCCGTTTTGCTCTCTTCCTCTTCTCCCGCCCTCCAGCTCTGACGGAGGTTTCTCCACCTTTCTCTGATGGCTTCTTCTCCTCCTCCCTCATTGGATTTCCCTCCGTTGGCTTCTTCTTCCTCTCCAGGAGGTGCCCTTTCTTCCCCTCAACGCTTATGGAAACAATTTTTTGCTCCCTCCGAGCCTTCTCCTTTGGATCTTCGTTTCTCCTTTCATCCTTCTGAGCCAGAGATCATTCCTTTCTCTGGTGAGAAACTTGCTCTGGACGCTGACTCCTGGGGATTATGCTTAGTTGGTTACTCCATAGGGCGACGTCCATACTATGAGGCGCTGCTTGGTGCTATGAAGAAAACTTGGCCTCTTAAAGGTTCAATGCAACTGCTTTCCTTAAGCGAAGGTTTCTTCCTCATCCGTTTCACTTGCCCTGAAGACTTCGAGCTGGTCTGGGCTAAAGGTGTCTGGTTCTTACTGGGTAAGCCGTTTAGCCTTCGAAAATGGCACCCTAAGTTCAAGACTCAGAAAGAAAATTTCTCTTCTGTGCCGATTTGGATCAAGATTCACGACCTGCCTCTAGCTTGTTGGAATTCCGAAGGGATCTCGAGGATCGCTAGCAAAGTTGGGGTGCTTATTGCTGCGGACAATCTTACTACTCAGAGGACCAGGCTAACGTATGCAAGAATTTGTGTGCTCGTAGACAGTGAAGCTTCTTACCCCACTGAAATCGCTGTTTCTCTTGATGGGGATGTGGTTCGGCTAAAGGTTCAGTATGAATGGAGACCTTCTCCTTGCATGCACTATAAGTCTTTAGTTCACTTACCTGCTTCGTGTCCGTCAAAGCCGGATGTTGCTAACAGTGATACTGTGAATCCTCCTGCTGATTTTAATGTCACCAATAGAAGAGGGAGGAGTCATAGTAGGAATCCCAAAGCCCGGACTCTTCCTCCTCATAATCCCCCTCTTCAGAATGTTGCACCTCCACCAAGCTCCTCTCCAGCCTCTTCCCCTCCCATTATTAATGAAGTCAAATCCCTGGATATCCCCTCTTCTTCCTCTGAACCTCTGTAAACTATTTCCCACTCTAATAGTTTGGGAATGCAATTAATTTATCAGAAACACTCTCCGCCCCCAACAGAACATAGGGATTCCTCGGTTTGTTTACAAGCTCCCCCTGTTTTAATTGCTGACTCCCCTGTATCTGCATGTATTCACAACCTTAATTCACCTAATTCGGAGGACTTAGTCCTAGACCAAATTTAGATCCCACAGGAAACTTTGCCTTCCTCTGGGGTTTTATCTCCTAATCGCTTTGACATTTTACAGCAGCAGGAGGATTCACAGTCCTCATCTGATAACCTGTCAGCTGATACCGTGGTTGATTATGGTAAAAAAACTAAAGAGAAGCCTAAACAAGTTTCTGCTTCTGTTTCATCCAAAAAACCTGCTAGAGGGAAGCAGGGGAAAAAACCCCCTCCGCATCCTAGTTTCTAATGTCTATTCCAAACATTGCTGTTTGGAATATCAGGGGTTTTAATCGCCCTGATAAAGTTCTTTGCTGTAAGAGGCTGGTCTCTTCCTTTAAGCTGGATATGCTTTGTCTACTGGAGAACAGGATTCATATTTCCTCTCTGGGTGATCCGTTCTTCGAATCCTCTCATACTATCTTCAATTATGAAAGCAGTTGTAACAATTTTGCTCTTTCATCCTCCGGTCGCATTTGGGTGAAATGAAATTCCAAAAACTTCACTTTCAACCTTCTGTTATTACCCCACAACTTATTTTGGGTATGGTTTCTGTTGGTGGCAATTCTATATTTTTCCTGTCTGTTGTTTACGCTGCTAACCACAGTGCAGATCGCCTTGCTCTCTGGGAGCTTATTTCTAATTCTGCACCTCAGTTCGATTTTCCTTGGATTTTGATGGGAGATTATAATTGTTGTCGTTACACTTATGAAAAAATAGGGGGTTCCCCCTTAACTTCCAGAAACCTCTGCGACCTCAACAATATGATCTTCGATAATGGCTTAGAGGATCTACCTTCCATTGGGAGCAAATTCACCTGGTTCAATCAATGTGCTGACTCTCCCATTCATCTAAAACTTGATAGGGCTTTGATTAATGAGGCTTGGAGTTCTGTCTTTCCTAACTCCTATTGCTCATTCCAAACCCCCTCTTGCTCGGACCATTGTCCCATCATTCTGCATTCTGGTTTGTCGCTGCATTCTAATCATAGGTTTTTGTTTAAGAATTATTGGACTAAAATGGACTGTTATTGGGCTCTTCTTATTGAGGTTTTTTCTAAACCTCAATCTGGCAACCCCATCATTGCTTTTTGTGCTAATCTCAAATTGTTTAAAAACAGTATTAAGAAGGAATCCTGGGCTTCCTCCAACTCTGTCACTTCTCATCTTAATCAGCTTCACATGCTTCAATCGTTATGGTTGGATAAGCTACACCATGACCCCAATAATTCCTCTTTTATTGCTTCTCTGAAAGAGGTTAATACTCAAATTGCGGATTTCTCTGGATTGATGGCTTCCTGGTCCATTCAAAGAGCTAAAAACAATTGGCTTAAGCACGGGGAAGACGACTTAAAGTTCCATTATGCTAGTATCAGGCATAGACAACGCAAAGCTCAAGTCCTGGGTCATCTTATTCAGTCCACTTCTACGGACCCTTCATCTGTTGGGGCCCAATCTGCCATTCAATATTTCCAGGACTTGTTCAACCCTGCCCCTCCTAACTTGTTGGAGTTGTCTACTTTTCCTATCAGCAACAACATCCCTGAGCATCTTCTTTCTGTGCTTGATGATATGGTTAATATTGATGAGATTAAGCATGCGGTGTTTTCTGGTTCCCCCTCTTCCGCGCCCGGTCCCGATGGTTTCAATTTTCATTTTTATAGGTCTGGATGGTACATCATTGGCCCTCTCCTCATCAAAGCAGTTTGCTCTTTCTTCACCAAAAATTATTTGTCGAGGGGGGTCAAAGCTTCTGCTCTTGTCCTCATTCCCAAACATAAGCATGCTTCTAGCATTTCAGACTTTAGGCCCATTGCTCTGTGCAACGTTCTCTACAAATGCATTGCTAAGATTTTAGCTAAAAGATTATCTCTTGTTATGCCTTACATTGTCAAACCAAATCAATCAGGCTTTGTGAAGCATAGAATTTCTACAGATAACATCCTGCTGGCTAAAGAAATCCTAGCACATTGCAATAAGCATTGCACTAAGATCTTTTGCGCCAAACTTGATATTCGCAAGGCTTTTGACAGCGTGGCTAGGGAGTTCCTCATTGCTAGGCTACACCAGATTGGTTTCCCTACTCAATTCGTGAATTGGATCAAATCTTGCATTTTTTATGTTAATTTTTCTGCCATTCTTAATGGTGGTTTAGAAGGGTATTTCCCTTCTTCGGCTGGATTAAGGCAGGGTTGTCCTCTCAGTCCTCTTTTGTTTTGTCTGGTCATGGACGCTTTTTCCTCTTTGCTTGATGCTAGTGGATTTAAAGGTTTTTCTATGGAAGGCTTTAGCATCACCCATCCACTCTATGCTGACGATGTCCTGATTTTTGGGGAGGCTTCCATTGATAACTATCATGTTTTGAATGATGTTCTCAACAAATTTGCTCTTGCTTCAGGTTTGCAAATAAATCTGGATAAGAGCTCCATTATGTTTCCCAAGTGCTTGAGAAACACAACTGCTATTTGTGATGCTGTTGCTATTCATAATGTATGTGAAAGTATCAGTTACCTGGGCATTCCCCTCTCCTTTAAAGTTCTGAAAATAGCTGACTTCATGCCCTTAATTGATAGTTTATCCAAGAAAATGTCTGGCTGGAGGGCCAAGCTTCTCTCAATTGCTGGCAGATTGCAATTTTTGAAATTCACTATGATTAACTCCATTGCTTATTGGATTAGAGGTTCCATCATGCCCAAATCTATTTTGAAATTCATTAAGCGGATCTCCTCCAAATTCCTTCTTTTTGGGGAGATGGATGGCTGCAAAAAAGATTCATATGCTATCCTGGGATAAGATTTGTAAGCCTAAGGCTTGCGGAGGTTTGGGCTTACCGTCTCTGAATGCCATACAGCATGCGTTTAACTGCTCTGTGATTGCTAGGATGTTTAATAGCAATTCTATGTTTACTAATTGGCTCATCAACAGATACAAATCTCCTTGGCGTCCTTATAACTTTAGTGATTCTAAATTTTGGAAGTCTATTTGCTCTACTGCGCAGGCTGTCAAACCCTACTTCAATTTTAGAATCACTAACTCTTCTCCTATCATGCTGCATTGGGATCACTGGTGTCATAATCGCCCTCTGTCTGATGTCCTCGGTGGATTAAGTTTTTTAAACCTGATGAACACAGAGGTCAAACTTAGGGAGTTTATTGTCGGGAACAATTGGGTTCTCCCTAACTCTCTTCCCCCTCAATTACAGAATTACATCTCTACTAATTGCATCTATGATAATTCCCTTCCTTGTCTCTGCTGGAATAATAACTCCCCTGGTAGCTTTAGTGAGTATATCAAAAGTTATTACATTCAGGAAGTTACTGTTGATTGGGTTAATCATATATGGCATAAGAAATCTGTACTGCGGTTCTCTGTTTGTTCTTGGTTTACTATTATGGGAGGTTTGAAAACTACAGATGAGCTTCTTAAACGAAACATTATTGTCCCTTCCACCTGCGGTTTATGTTTTAATGCACCTGAAACTGCTGCCCACCTATTCTTTGAGTGCTCTTACTCCTTCGCTATTATCACTCACATCATGCCTGCAGCCCACGGGTTTCTTCTTAAGCCTAATGTGATGCAACTTCTTGACTGGATTGAGACTACTTATTCAATGAATAGAGGGGAAAAATCTTTTTACCTCCTTGCTGCCTGTTGCTCTATTTATTTTATATGGAAGGAACGAAATGATAGGAGATTTGGGACTTCTTATCATAGCTTCGTTACTACTGCTTTTGTTATTAAAAAGCTGTTTTGGAAAAGGTTTATAAATGGAAAAATGCCTCTATACTGCTGGAGCTGCTTTGACTTCCTTCCCGATTTCTGTGGCTATCGCTGGGTGTTTGGCTTGCCTGCGGGTAACGCCTTGGACCATGATGTACCCAATTGCAGGCACCCCTTGGATGGTCTTTATGGCAACCAGGGGTTCTCGACTTCCTATCACTTTTTGAGTCCAGGCGAAGCTGAATCGTATTGCCGTCGATCTACTGGTCCCTGTTTTCTTCTGTTCTGCAGACGTAGTGTATTCTTCTTCTTTTTTGGGCGTCTGTTGCCAACCATTCCTTATGGCCCTGTGCCGTTGAGCTACTGTTTCCTGTTTTTGTTCTGTTTTGTTGATGAAGTGTAATCTTCTTCTTTTTTGGGCTTCTGTAAGCCAGCCATTCTATATGGCCTTAGCATTTCTTTTTTTTACCTATAATTTTCTATTTTGATTAATATACGGGCAAAGCCCAAATTTTCCAAAAAAAAAAAATAATAATGTAGTGGGGCAGATCAATAATAATTGAGCTTGTCTTATGTGTGGTAAAATTATTATTATTATTTTTTGTGAATGGGGAGTATCGGTCCGCTGCCACCTCAGTTTATAACGAGCTTGACGATGTCCACTAGTCTCCTCAGCTGACCTAAACGAGCAACCCACACCTATTATTACTCATAGCCCGAGCTTATTAGGTCCCCCCTAGAAAGGCGCTGCCGCCCGAGAGAATCGGGTACGAGTTGAGAGTTCCCAATGACACTCGTCCACCAACTAAACTAAACATTGATGGTCATTGTCATTTGGCCTATCAGTGGGGGTTATTGATTTTGTCTTATTTAATGTTTTGATTATTATTATTTTTATTAAAAGAAGGGCAATTTATGATTAAAATATTGTAATAATTCAACTATGCACATGCACGTGCATGCATCATATAACCTTTTTTTCATTAATATCATAATAATTCGACTATGTGCATGCATCATATGAAATTAATGACAAATGCCATTACGTAATCGGAAATTATTTTTTTAACACACTTGTCTTATACCAACATCTCCTAAATGTAATCTTCGTCTATCATTATTTCCAATATTTAGATAAATGAACTTTTTTAAAAATAATTATACTAGTATATAATTTTTTAGAGTCAAGTAAAATGGGCAAGAGAAGCATTTTGTTTAATGTTTGTTGGTCGATGCATGTCAATACAATAATAACAACAAGTCTTTATCCCACTTGTCGGGTCGTCTTCCTGAATCTTTTTTCTTCATTATGTCATGTTAAGGAGAGAGACTTATTACACGCGGAGTTCGGACCGGAGCTGTCTAGATTCTATGAGTGTGCGAATGAAAATGCGGTGTGCACAATAACCACACTTTTACTATGCACACTCACAGATTCGAACTCCACACGTAATAATTTCTACCCGTTAAAAGTCAAATTCTATTCAAATCTAATAAAGAAATGTCATTTCTAATATTTTCTAAGCCTTTTTAGGTCTATCTCTACCTCTTAAAATAAGTCAAATCTAATACATCTACTTTCCAGTCTGGGTCATCAAAAGGCCGCCGTTTTATGTGACCAAACCAACTATAAGGCGACTCTCTCTAAAGGACATAATTCTACTAATTAAATTTACATAGTTTAAAATATAGCAAAAGCTTTTAAATAATCTATTGAAAACTTGAATGGATAAAATAGAAAGAAAAACAACGGCTAACAATTACTTGCATCAACTTGATATAATCATTTAGCTTCTCGACAAACAAGTCACTTTTAAATGTAAAGTTTTTCTCTAATTTTTCTAGAGGGATTGATGTGGGAGGCTTGAAAGCGCCTAAATCATGATCAATCAAGACCATTTGCTTGGTTAAAATCAATTCTATTTGCTGGACTAAAATGCTTCCTATGGGACAGCTTTTATCCACATATTTTTTTATTATTTTCAACAAATTTTTATACTAAAAAATTAACGTAAAAAATAATAAGAAAACTATCTCTTACAAAGACAAAAGATTCATTTATAACAATTTTTTACTGTTTCTTAAACACTTTCTAATACAGAAATTTCTTAACATCAACAAAAAAAATGAGCTCAAATTTATCCCAAACAAAACTTAAATTAATGTCTTTTCTATTTCAATATTCTTTGAGGAAAGATCCTTATAATATAATATTTTTATACCTTAACAAGAATGACTAGATTTTCATCAACGGTGAAATTACATATATATATATATATATATATATATATATATATTACATTTGAAGATAAACCATATCAAAGAGATTATCATTTGTATAAAATAAAGAAAAATTAACTCAATTTACTTTGTATCAAGTGCACATGCAATTTTACCTGTAATTTAAAAATATGCTATTCAGTCTCATTTGATTCACACACAATATATCCCGCATATTATGACCTGTGCTTTCTGTTGATTATTATTTGCAAGCAACATTTAGTCGAGTGAGATAAATGAAAAAAAAAAAATCATATCGGCATAACAAATGTCGGGTTGAAGCAAAATGGGCAAAGAACAAAATTTTTAACGCTTTGGAAGATGCGAACAATAAAGGACAGAGAAGCGTCCATGGCGATTTCAAACTGTAGCACAAATTTTCTAATGAACTTTTGAATATTTGTTTGAAGAAAAAAAAAAAGGTAAGAAAACATCTAACAATGACTTGCGTAAAAAGCTGCATCTTGAGAATATAGCCATTAAATACTTCAGGAAACGACGAAATTTAAAATAGTAGGGCCATGGAATAAAATAGCCAGGTAAGAGTGCAGGAATTACATTAATCAAAGGATAGAGGCAAATCAGAGTGTTGTCCATTGTAACAACGAAATTAATCTGATTATCACAAGTAGTAGAGTTCATTGAAAAATCTGGGCTAAATTTTTAGTTCAAGAACTACAAAGAAGAGAACGGTGGCAAGAAGATACCAACATCAAGGCTGTGCCTTGGGCGGGCGTTTTGGGCCAAAGTAGTTTGTAACCAATCCCATAATGGCAAACCTACAAGATTTCCAGTATCAGAGTGCGGCGTATAAAGCCTTGATCTATATAAGTAACATAGAAATATGCAATGATTGCTTTGCAAGGATGGCAATAAAGAGCTGTCGAGCCTTCTCAAAAATGATAAGATAGATTGTTCGAGTCTTTTCAAACCACTCTTCATCCAGTTGTGATTTTATTCCGGATATGTGAATCATGAATGACTTTTTATCAAAATGTGCAGCAAATTATGTCGAACATAAAACACAAAATCAGCTTTTTGCAAAGTATTTAGGCTTCGTTTGGGATGGCTTTCTTACTGTTTCTTAAAACAATTTTTTTTACTAAAAAGCTGTTTTAAGAAGCAATAAGAAAGCCATCCCAAATAAAATCTTAAACTAGAAAAATGATTATGCATAGTGCACGCATCTCTCATCAATGCATGAAGCCTTATCCTTAAAGAAAGACCCATCTCTATGATTCGAACATGCTTCATCTAAGTTACAAAGTAGGCAGCATAAGAGCCTCACTCTGACATATCCTCCAAAGAGTGAATTTAGTCGCATATTTCAATGTGGTTTATATAAAACATAGCGGCGAACACCCCCACACATGCATGAGCATAACAAATTATGATGAATGACATCTGAACTGTCAAAATTGTCAAATGGTAAAAAGAATAACATTTCCAAAGTTTGCCCAACATGTTAATTACGACACTGCAATTTTCCTTGTTCAAAGTTGGCCAAGAAAATGACGAATTTATATGGTTTTATTAAATTATAACAATATCAACTTCAATAAAAACATGAACGCAATTATTATGATTAGCCCTATACCACTTATTTGAATGGTAATCCAAAGGAATAACCTCTTTCAAAGTTTGTCAATCATGTTTGTAGCAACGAAGGAATTTCCCATACGAAGTGGTATAAGCAAATGAGGAATTTGCACGGCTTGATTAAATTACCAGGAGATCCTTGTTAATAAAACCATGATCATCGCAAGGATGAAGATGAGGCGGAGATCTTAAAGGGAGAAAGGAGAAGATCCCATCTGGAGCCTTTCCAAAGGGAGGATAGAGGAGGGAGGTATGGGGAAAGGCATGGGTATGGGGGGCAGGAGCAAAGGGGAGCTGAATAGGAACACAAGGACGAATATTATGGCCACCGAGGTGCTAATTTTGAAGGAAGGAGAGGGGAATTTGAAAGAGGTTTTGGGTATCAAAGGGGAAGGGGAGATCAAGAGACTTGGGGAGGGTCAAACACTTAGGAAAGGGGAAACTATAGAGGAATAAGGGGAAACAGAGGAGATCAAAAGATGAGAAAGTTGAAAATGCCCATTTTCGAAGGAGAGGACGCACATGGGTGGATCTATAAGGTGAAGAGGTACTCTCCGTCAATGGGTTGACGGAGGAGGAGAAGTTGACAGTAGCAGGCTTATGTTCGGAGTGGAAGGTACAGTCATGGTACCAGTGGAGGGACTAGAGGAGACCCCTACAGAGCTGGAGAGAGTTCAAGAATTGTTTAATATAACGTTTCCAAACCGACAGGGGAGGAGACTTCTATGAGCAATTCTTTGCACATGTGCAGGACGGATCAGTGGCAGACTACTGAGAGAGGTTTGAGTATCTAGCCAGTCGAGTGGAGCGATTTTTAGAGACAACATTGGAGGGGAACTTCCCGAAGGGGATCAAATCAGATATCAGATATGCAGTGAAGGTCATGAGGCCTCGTAACTTGGGAGAGGCCATGGAGTTGGCACAGCTGGTGAAAAATCAGAGGTATCATGAGAGGGGAGCCAGGAGCAGCAATTCAGGGGGGTCTTACAGGACGATGACCACTCTTTCAACACCCAAGGGGCATGTATCATGCAACATTAATGAGACTCCCAAAGAGAATCCAACAGGAGGAAGTGGAGGGAATTTCAAAAGACTGACGAAGAGGGAGATGCAGGAGAATAGGGTGAAGGGGTTATGCTTCAGATGTTATGAGAAGTATACTCCATGGCACAAGTGTAGGGATCGAACTCTTCAGGTTCTCACCGTCAGTGATGACGAGGAAATTGAGGATGGAGGTGAGAGTATGGGGGAGAGAGAGAGATGGAGGACAAGCTGCATCTGGAGGTGATGGAGGTCTCCCTAAATTCAGTGGTGGGATTCATTCCAAATCATACCATGAAGGTGAAGGGGAAAATAGCAGACATGGAGGTGTTGGTGTTGATTGACAGTGGGGCTACCCATAATTTCATCTCCAACTAGGTCGTGGGCCAATTGGGGGTGACATTAGTGGATATAGGGTGTTATGAAGTGATGATGGGTACAGGGAAGATGAAGACGGGTCAGGGGATATGTAGGGGGTAGTGTTGGTCATATAGGGGGCTTAGGTGAGGAAGAATTTTCTCCCATTGGATTTAGGAAGCACTGATGTCATCCTGGGGATGAAGTGGCTGCAGACCTTCGGGGACACCAAGGTCAACTGGGGAGCATTGATGATGGAGCTGATGGTGGAAGGGAGAATGATAGTGATCAGGGCAGATGCACGGCTCACCAAAGCCATGATATCACTTAAAACCTATGATGCATGGACACGGACACGGCGACACGGACACGACACGACACGGACACGGGACACGGCTTTTTTTTTTTAAATATAGGACACAGGTACGACGCGGACACGACAATACATTTTTTTATATAGTGTATATATATTAATGTAATATCATATTAAAAATGACAAACAATAATAAATGAATGACATGATAACTTGTCTAGCCTATAATATAAAATATTTAGTATAAAATATTTAATACAACCACAAAAATATAAGCAAATAATCACTTACTACAACATCAGGCATTCAGGCTTCAACTACTAGGATTAGCTTTAGAGGTTTGTTTTTGGCCTTCAATATCATCATCATTGAATATCACTACTTTCAACTTTGATTCAACAAGAGAAAGATTTGTAATTGTACAAAAAGAGAGGAGATGAAAATAGCTTCACTGCCAAAGAAATGAAAATGAAAATATTCGATGAAGACGTTAATTTGGTGTTGTAGATAGAAAATAAGAAATTTAGTTTAAATCTCGCCAAACATAAGAAATTATATTTTTTTAAAAAATTATAAAATATTTAAGATACGCGTGTCGGACACGCGTGTCCGACACCCGTGTCCAATTAGTTTTTAATATTTTTTTAATCGGACACGTTTTCGGCGTGTCCGACACATGTCGGAGGAGTGTCGGACGAGTGTCGTGTCGGACACGGTGTTAGACACTGCACGCCTCTTTGAGGAGAAGTGTCGGTGCATCATAGCTTAAAACCAAGGTGAGGAGCATACAAGAGGTGGGGGAAGGTTATCTGATGGAACAACATAGACTGGAGGAGAGCAGATTGGAGGAGAGCAAGGACATTCCTCTTTCAGTACAACCATTGATTTAGCAATTCAGTGAGGTTTTTCAGCCGCCACAAGGGTTGCCTCCTCCGCAGGAACACGAGCATGCTATCATCTTGAAGGAAGTAGTTTCACCTCTCAGTGTCCATCCGTATCATCATCCCCAAATCCAGAAGGATGAGATAAAAAAAATGATTAGGGAGATGCTGTAAGCAGGGATCATTCAACCCAGTATCAGTCCATTTTTCAATCCAGTGTTATTGATCAAGTGCTTTAGGAGCAGTTTCCTTCGTTCCATCTTGAGGACAATGTGGCACTTCGGGAGGAAAGTATTGTTAGACCGGTCCAACCGGTCTAGACAGGACATGCTCAGGTGAATAGAGGCGGAAGAATTCCACCTCCTTGTACGCGCCGACCGAACCGCAAATCCAAACAGAGCTATTCAGGAAGGATTTTTGAGGGAGTTATGGGGAAATTTGAATGTAGGGACTGTTTAGAGATTTCTTTTGGATTGTATGTATTAAATAGTTAGTTTTCCTAGGATTATGGCATCTTGAATTTGGATGAAATTTGAGATCTCTTAGTTTCTTTGGGCTCTAGTGGCGTCTAGAGATTTGGGAGGGATAAATCCTCTCGAATAAAAGATCAATTGTATCAGGTTATTTTCTTCAGTTCTATTTGATTATTGCAATAAAATTATTATTTTTCTGGTTTTCTATTGGAGTTTGGAAGAGTTTTTCTCGCTATTTTTTTCTAAAATTGATAGGATTTACTTGAAATATTCAAGTGTTTCATATCATGCACTCATGCAGTGCTTGGAAGCAATGGACAAACCACTTCGATTGGATATTAGATTTCGATGCACCCACAACAATAAATTGGATCACAACAAGTACAAATTGGTAATGGTGACATGCTTCCAATAGCCAATTCTGGACAAGGTCTCCCTCTCAACACAACATCGTAAGCTTCTTCTAAATTCTCTATATCATGTTCCTTATCTTTCACACAATCTTATCTCTATAAATATATTGGTTTCCAACAATCCTTGTTCTATCATCTTCAATAATGCTAGTTTCTCCATCAAGGATTCGATGAATAATCTCACACTTCTACAAGATCGACCTCATCAAGGATCATACCACATTAAAGCTACCCGACCTACCTCAACGACCTCTTATGTGTTCATCATCACTTGATTTGACTCCAAAATCATTCATAGTGATTCTTATGGTCTAGCAAAGAGTTACAAATTATCTTTCTAGTTCTCTTTCATGTAGCAAATAATCTTTAGAGTTAATGCATACTGATGTATGGGATCCTTCCTCAATTTTTTCAATGCAAGGTTATAAATATTTTCTTATCTTCGTTGATGATTTCTCACATTATAATTAGATTTATCCTTAGCGAAATAAATCTGAAACTACTTCCAAATTTTTGCATTGCAAGGCATTAATTAAATGTCTATTTAATAAACATATCAAAACTTTTCATTCAGACAGCAGTAGCGAGTATACTAACTCCAACCTCCAAATCACATACAAAATTCTGGCATTATCATCAATTAAGTTGTTCTTACACATCTGAACAAAATGGCGTTGCCAACAAAAAAAAACATCGTCATAT